ATGTGGATACTGTGGTAAAGAGTAAAGCCATGATCTATTTTAACTGAGAAAAGCTGGATTAAAAATGTTTTTACAATGATCACAGCTACATAAAGAAACAAATCCACAGAAAGAAACAGAAAGGAAATGTGAAAATGTTAACATTAATTGTAACAGGGTCATGGCATTGTGGATGTCTTGTTTTCCTTTTCTGTATTTTCTATATAGTCATGGAGAGACTGTAACAATGGATCAGCTAATGCTGTCCCACGTTACCATCCAGTAGGGCAGGGAGAAGGCATGAGGATGCGTGGATAATCTCAGGAAGTCTAGTTCTAAGAGATTCCCTCTTCCTCCCCGCTCCCGAGACTGAGTCATTTCTGGGCAGAGTGTGGGACTAGAAATTAAGTCAGAATTCCCCTGGGAACCCGTGGTTGGTTAGCTCAGTGGCCTTCATCTTTGGTGAGTTTTGTTCCTTCCCTTGACCACTGTCCCCACATTTAACCTCAGAATATTGTATGCAATGTAATTAGCAGAGCCAGATGGTTGTTGGTAGATTACTGAGCAAGCTGTTGGTCCTACAGGGAAACATCTCTGCACAGGCACTCTACTGACTGTTAGGCAAAAGTGCCATTTCGTAATTATTAAGACACACTTGGGAGGGGTATGTACAGTGGTTAAGAACATGCCTTTGGAGTCTGACAGTTTTAGATTTGAATCCCAGCTCCACCATGGAGAATAGCTGTTTGGCCTTGGGAGAATTACTTAAGTTTTGACACTCTCAGTTTCTTCATCTGCAAATTGGGAATAATACTTTGTATCTCATAAACTCATTTAAAAGATTAATGATATAGCATGTGTAAAGCCCTTAGGACAGTGTCAGTCAATAATGGTAGCTAACTATTATTATTAGCTGCTATAACCATGGTAATTTCATATTTTAAAACACTACTCTATTTAACTATGTATTTTTCTTTAAATTTTTCCTGAATTCCATAAAAAGTTTTCACTAATTAAAAGCAAACCAATTAGAAAAACACTACTCTATTTTACAGATATATCAGCTAGAGAGTCATTTATTATATCTTCTGAAATGTTGGGTTTTGATTCTCCTTAGTTCTTTAGATTCAACATTCATGTCGGTGGTATCCTCATTTCGATAATCCAGCCTCAAAGAATTCCATCTAGTTAGTGAGGCAAGTTATTCCTTTCCTGAAACCACATGGGTTCCTCTAAACTGAGTTCCTGCTCTTTCTCTGTTTGATTTCTTAAAATAGTTTCTGAAGATTTTAACCACAACTGAATCAAAACTAACCAGCCTGTAATTTCCTGGTATGTCCCTATGGCCTTTCTTTTAAAACAAAACACACACAAAAAAATGGCATTACATTGGCTGGTTTCCAGTGTTTCGGGGTTTCGACTTGAGGAAGCTGGAAAATGTCTGTGAAAGCTACACTAATTTTTCTTCGTCCCTCTTTGGGAGGAGGCTCTGGGTTGTTTGTGGCTTTATCATGATGTAACATCAAAATGAGTCACTTTTAATTTTGAGTTGTTTTAAGAAAAGTTTACCAAATACCATCTCTTCGCAGTTCTTTATTGCATATCTTCCTTTTCTTCAACTCTAGTACATCAGAAAATAAGGCAACTCATATTAAGCACATAAGCTAGAAAAAGAAAAAACTGTTCTTCTTTTATATAAAAGATATGTTATCTAAAAATATCCAAGAAAATATGGATTAATTATTTGAACTCATAAATTAAAAGCACAGTTAGAATATATTTGGATCTTTTCCTAAAACCTATGCAAACCTTCTGAACTCCACTCAGAGGCACATAAGACTAGATTTAATTTGGCCAATTATTTAAACGGTTAATGATTTTTCGTATTGTAGCGATTTTTCATCTTTTTTTTAATGGTTAAATGTTTTCTTTTAGTTGAATTCTCAATATAACTGAAATATTTCAATCCCAATTGTTTTGGTTTTAAATATGTCCATAATTAATATACAACAGAAAAGTTGGAGTTAAAAAGAAGCAAAAATATAATATCCAGATGATGGACTAAATTAAAATATGGATTGCAATGGAACCCAAGCAATTTATTTTAAAATTATAATGAACATGATGAGAATATATGTGCTCAGTACATTGTTTCTGTAATTGTTTGTTTCAGTAAATATTTGTTGAATCAATGAATTAACAACAGATTGGTAATGATAGAACTAAAAATGCAAAGTAAATGCTGAGATAATGATGTAAGAAAATTCATTTCTAAACAAAACACTGACTCAAATTTTAAGATATAATTAAATCCAACTAATTTGGGGTTATTGTATAAGAAACAGCCATATTCAAAAGTTCTGAAATGCGAAAACATAGTTATAGAAATATAGCACATTTTGTTGATATTTATGTTTGGAATCAATCAACAAGGTGTTTCCAAATAGATAAATGTTTTTAAATAGATTCAATTTACTTGCAATGAGAGCTCAGCATTTGTGTCCCAGCAACTCACATGCTAAAGGCTAAAACTATTCTTCTTGAAAATATCTCTTTTTGTATTTTTTAAAAATATTAATTAGCCAGGAAGCTTTCTTGCAAAGCAGAAAGTAAAAGTAAATGTTAACTATATTCCAGACTAGTGTTATAAGTTATTAAAATTAGTGGAGTCCAAAATAATGATATCTTTTTTTACTGTATTTATCAATTGAAATATATTATTTGCCATTTAATTTTTTAGAAATTTTTGATTGATTTAAACAGGATCAAATACATAGTGATACATTACATTTGTTCCATGGGGGTAACAAAAACAGGGACCTAATTATATTAGTTATTTTTGCCCTTACTTTCTCTCTAATATTTTCTATAATTACTGCTATGAATATTTTTTAAGCATTTATTCTTAGAAATACAATTCCAAAAATTAAACAAACCTAGAAGATACAAAACACTCTTTGGGTTGTACAGATGTGAGCAATATAATTAGCTTCTGAATGAAAACATCTACATAGATTTTATGTCGATGTTAAAAAGCTGGAGTCTGTCACTCCCTTTATAGGAATCTCAGAATCTCACTCTGGGTTCAGGAAAGAGGAAGAGATTGGATAAAGTCCTCTTTTCTTTTTTTCATTTTTTAATCCGCAGCATAGTGTCAGTTTTACATACTTTCTACTTAGTTGCTTTTTGCCAAATTCCTTGGCTGAAAAACATTAACCTCAATTGTTTCAACTGACCTCTTAGGTAGTGTCGTTGAAATGAACATAGATTATATCATCTCCCAAACAACCCCTTCATCTTCCCTTTACCAAGAATATTTTCTTCAGAGTATTCCATTTCCATCAGTTTTCATCAATTTATTTAGCACTTACTCACATGGTCGTGACTCAGAGATTTAGGGTTGGTGCTTTGGGAACCCCAAATAATGAAGACATCAAATTAGATTATGCAATTCTTGGCTGTTAATTACTCAGAGTTCTCTTACTATATCTAATACTTTTTAAAAAATATGTAAAGTTCAAGCCCCAATTACTTAGGGCTCTCAAATTTTCAACAAATAAATTAAGATGATTTCTATATTTTCAGAATCTCATAATCATATTATTATAGCTCATATTTCAAAGAAATGCTGAGTAAAACAATAGTGCAGAAATATTTTTATATTGTTCCAAGCTTGAAAAACATTTCCTGAGCTAACAGGATATTCCACTTATTTTTACTTAAAATTTATAAACTGAAATCTACAACCAACTCTTATAATAAACAATTACAGACTTTATACTAGGTGGCAAACAAGTAAATTGATGCTCTTTAGCACACTATTTGTAAGTGCTATGGGAAACTGCAAAGCAAAGTATAGAAATTTTCACAAGACTCACAGCCTAGTTTTTATAATTCAGATTCCCATATGACATTGGAATTTAAACAGGCAAGAAGAGATGTTTCTATACAAGTTTCAAATTTTCCAATTTGTTTTCTGCCAAGTCTTAACTTCTCTGAGTATTTCTTAAGGTACAAATCCCCTGTACGTGATGGAAAACTATACCATCAATTGTGTTCTTATGAGTAGAATTTTCCTGGGAACAATAAATACCTGCCACACTAATAAGACACTATATGGGGGAATCTTTGAAAAAAAAACAAAGCTCTATATTATGAATGCTAAGCGGCATAATTGATTTTTTCTACAAAAAGCGCACTTCAAATAGGAAACCTGGATTTGGAGATCTTGCAAAGGTGAAGAAGTTATTATTGGAATATATTCACTTTTTCTTTCTTCTTCCATGAATTGATTTTGCCTCTTCCACTTAAGAGCATGAAGAAA